TTAGGCTGATCATCCACTGCTAGTATGTATGTAAGTAGCATCTTTGTGTTTGTCATACATAAGGTGACTTTTTGAAAATATCCATAGATGGGGCATCTGGCTTTCCTGCCTTCTGGCTGGGTCCTGATAGCCTTAGCTGAGACTCCCATCCAGCTTCTTGCTCTCACCCCTATCAGCAACCGCAGCATAGAGAAGGAGCCTGTGTGCTCCAGAATTTATTTGGAGAAAAATTCAAACTGCTTCTTTTTGAAGTGGAATGGGAGTCAGAGGTGAGCCCTAGTCAGTGAGCTGCGTGGGAGAAGAAAGGTTTGCAGTGAGCAAGGCTCTCAGCTCTCAGGCTGTTTTTTTTTTTTTTTTTTTTTCCCCCAAACAGCAGAGAGACTCCCAGCACAGATCTAGGGCTCAGGGGCCACTCTGCTCATCTCCCTCCTTGACTGCAGACCTCGGGCCTCCCAAGCACATCCTCACAGCCCTCCACACCACTGGTATCTGGACTAAAGCAGAGACAACCCCTCCTCTTCCTTCCATCCCCAGGGAACATCACACTTGCAGTCCACTCAGCCCAGCCCTAATGCACACACAGATACAGAAACAAGAAAGATGAAAATCCAAACCAAAAGCGCTGACTGCTTTGTCCCTGAACCCTGCTTTATACAAACCTATCCAGCCTGCACAGATTCCAGCTCATCCATCAAAGCGTGGAATGCTCAGCCACATGCTGTTATAACCCAAACTCAGTCTGCAAGCGCCTCTGTGATGCCGCTAGGCCTGTGTTGCAGGTTACCATGCAGAGATCGGAAAAGCCATTGAAAGGAGAGCATAAAGTTGTCGTTGCTTGATGGCAAAGGGTTTTCACGTGTACCTGATCAAGAGGTTAAATGAGATAATGTAGGCAGAGCGCTCAGCAGAGTAACTGAACAGAGAGAGCTCCCAATGAAAGCTTCCCACCTAACAGTGCGGGAGGGCCTCTTCTCATGTGATTAGAAGCAAGCCTTTCTTCCACTGCTTCTGCTATTCAACAGCCTGTCCTATCCTGAAGGAGGGAAGTCAGTGCCTAATACCTGCCCCCAACCACCTTCGTACATCTAATGGCTTCCAGGCTGCAAGGGCCGGGGGTGGGGGGGGGGCGCTGAACTGCGCATCTGTGCAGATGGGGAGCACCCAAAGGGGTTTCTGGAGACATATTGATTGATGCATGGACAACCACATCAATATCTTTCCTTCCTCCTCTGGGTCAATAACATATTCCTAGACCCTAGAACAATTTTCAAAACTTTTCTTTCAAGCGTATCTCCCTTCCTCTCCTTTCTGAGGTCCAAATGCAACACCAGAAACAGACCTCTTCTGCCCTTTCTGAAGTCCAACCACAGTGTTCCTCCCCTCCCTTGTTTAATGCGATCCAGGTGCTGATGCTTTATCCTGTATAGAGGAACAATAGGGCAAGACCATCCTGAGAGCTCTCCCAGGTGGCTCAGTGGTAACTAATCCACCTGCCAATGCAGGAGATGTGGGTTCGATCCCTGGATCAGGAAGATCCCCTAGAGGAGGAAATGGCAACTCGCTCCAGTATTTTTGCCTGGAAAATCCCACGGACAAAGGAGCCTGGTGGGCTAGAGTCTATGGAGTCCCAAAGAGCTGGACACAACTTAGCGACTAAACAATAACAAATACGGCAGTAAAAAGGATAGTTGGTATTTTTTCATCTTGTTTTCAAGGCTGGAGATATCATATCTCCCCTACCCAGTTCAGAGAGGCTAAAAAAACACCCCTCACCCCAACTTTCCAAGCAAAACCTGCATGAAGTCAAAGGAATTTTAGATGGCCCAGAGCCTATGGGCCCTGTGTGGTCTCACAGCACTTTTGCTTTTATCCCAAAGGGAAGCAAGCAACCCAGGGGGAATATTGCCCCACACTGTTCAGCTGGAGAAGAGCTTGAGGGACTATGTCAGACACAGGGCAAGGAAAAAGGTTTTTATTAAGAATAGTTCATGCATTCACATGATTCAAAAGTAAAAATGCATAAAGAGTTTACAGAGCCACTCTCCCTGGAGGCAACAGATATTATTAGCTTTTGTGTATATGGTTATGCAAATACAAGCAACTATCTTGAATTGCTTCTTCTTCCTTCTCTTTTATAGCATGAACAGTAGCATATTATACACACCCTATAATGTTTTCCACTTAGCCTCTATCTTGAATACTGTCCTATATCAGCTGTATAATAATAGTAAGCTTCCTAAATCTTTTTTTGTGTGTGTGGATGAACAGAACAGTATTCCACTATCTGGAAGTACCACAAGTCCCCCTTTGATGAGCATGTAGGTTGTTCTTTCACTGTTCAAACAGTGCTATAATAGATACATGTCTTTGTGGCCACATGGAAGAACAAGGGCAAATCAGATTGCTAAAGTTGGAATCACTGAGTCAGATGGCATGGGCATTACTAATATAGATAAATGCATCTAAAATGCTATCCAAAGGAGTACTACCAGTTTACTCTTCCATCAGCAATGTATGAAACTGCCTGTTTTCTCAGAACCTCATCGGCAGTTTATCCATCTTTTTGATGTTTGTTAACTGAACGGTAAATAAATGTCATCGCAATTTACACTTTACATACTAAAGAAATTAATCTGTTTTGTATGAGTTAAATTCCTGAGTCCTAGAGGGAGAAAAGAGCATCCAGTTTTATCAGGACAGCACGTCCTCTGAAGTCTAACGGGGTCACAAACATCCCTTGGACCTACAAATAACAGTCTTTATTCAAAACGTTCTGTATTTTCAGCTCCCACATGTGTGGCTGTTTTTAGTGGGGAGGAGAGTTACCCTGTGGAAGGAGCAGAGACAGAATCAGACAGACCTGGGTTCCAGGCACAGCTTTGCCACTGACGAGCTTTACAATCTTAGCAACTTGCTTAACCTTTCCCAAATATGAAATTTCATATTTCCATGAAATATGGGGATCATAATACTGATCTTTTGCAAAGCCTTATCTCTGGTACACAGAAGGTAGATAGCAAACAGCAGCAGCTTTCATTAGTGTTAATAACCATCAAGCCAGATTCTAAACCTCAGGGCACTTTTCACAATTGACAGGACCTGAACTGCCCAGCCGGGGCAAAAGGCTCTTTTGTTAAATGGCCACCCAGAGGATTCCCAGCTCCTTCTGCAAGTCACCCCAGGCTCCTTCCAAAGTTAGCAGGAGAGCTCACTAAAGTCCCCTGCAGGGCCTCTGCGTGAGGGGTGGGCTATTTCTGTGCCAGGCTCCCCTGCTGCCAGATGACCTTTGTATTCAGGCTGAGGGCTCTCTGGTCTAGGCAGAGCTCATTTCCAATTACAGATGGGCAAGTCAGAGACAAAACAGAGATCCTTGAGCAAAACATGAAGGACTTGCTCTCATCAGCAGCAGTGCCCCATCTTAGCTTCCCCAAGCACTATTTCTGATGAGGTCAACTACATGCAGATTTCTAGCTTTGGCAGGAATCTCAGTGATGTTCACAGCTGGGCTTTTATCTATGCATATAATACCCCTTCCTCCCAAAGAACTTGAGACTTTCCCCATTCACACAAGGTCCTGTTTCATTTCATTACCCCCCACCCCCAGGATGGCAGGAATTATGACAGTGAGAGAACTGTGAGGAGGACCCTGCTGCTGATGTCTAATGCCCCGGCTGAACCTCAGGAAACCACATGAGTGCCGATCTGACCCTGCATGTCTGTATTCCGTTGGCTTAGATCTCCTGCATGGGACCTGGACCCTCCTGGGAGACGTCTGAGAAATTACAATTGCTTTCAGAGAATGTTCCTTTGCTCTTTCCTCCCCCTAGGTTCCACCTCTGTCAGTCTTGAAGGAAAGGGGCAAGATTCAAATGTAATTTCAAGTACTTCATTAGCACAGAAATAAAGCGGCCTTCCGCACCCCCCACCCCCGCCTGATTCCAGATCCCCAGCCGATCGCAGGCAAAGTGAACTTGCTGGATATGGAGTCCAACATCGTTTGTCTCTCACACGGTATAAAACGTGGGTCTGCCTCAGACCCACGGGAGGTGGTGGTTATGAGGGAGACCTGGCAGGGCACAGAGATCAGACTGTGTAGACAGCGATCCGTGTCAGTTACTCTGCAGCCTCCTTAGGATCGCAGCGGAGTCCTGCTAGTGGAAACCACCCTCCCCGCAGCCCAGGTCCCCCCCGGTCCGCAGCTGGGCGGACAGGAAAGGAAGAGAGAAAGTGCCTCAACTGATTGCGGGGGGGGCCCCAGCCTGCGCGCTGGACAACGGCCCCCCGATCCGCATCTCCGCCACATTAAAGTAGTTGGAGCAAACTTGCAGGGCCCCAGAGAAAAACAATGCCCAGATGAGGCAGAAAAGCATGGGTGGTGTAAATAGCCCAAAGACACCGACAGAGAAGACAGCTCTCCACCCCTGCCCTCCTTCGCCGCCTTGGGAGGCGCAGAGCAGCCAGGAAGCCCTCCACCCCCCCGCTGAGGGTCTCCCAGGCGCCGCGCTGGGCGCTCTACTCGCCCATCCCAGCCGGACTTCCGAGTTACGGGAGCGCGAGCAGCAAAATGGGGGAATCACGATCTCTCTACCCGAGCCAAACCCTCCTCCCGGCCGCTGAGCGGAGCTCCGATGTGGCCGGCGCCTCCAGTCAGACCCGCCGCGCCCTCCTGCCCGCGCGCTGCCCGAGGGATGCGGGGCTGGACGCCCGCCCTGGGGCCCAGGACGAGGCGGACAGCCGGCCCGGGTGACAGTCCGATTTCTCTGTCCCCGAGACAGGCAGGCAGCCCCCGGCGATCCTGGACCGGCGAGGCCGAACCGGCTTCGCGAACGCACTTGCGCCCGACTTATTTTTAAAAACTTCAGGAAAACCATCAGCACATCGAGCCCAAATTGCAAGGCTGGCCCGGGGGCGCCCTCGCGCTGGACCCACTCGGCCGCGCGAACGGACCGTTTTCACCCACCCCGGGTCCTCAGTCCCCGCCCCGAGCCCCGCTCACTCACGCGCGCCGGGCGAGACCTCGGGGCCAGCCGTGTCGCGGGCCGGGGCAGCCTCATGGTCCCCGGAAGCTAGAGGGCGCCGAGGCGCAGCAGTCACGTCCGTGTGGGGGTCCCTCCGGGCGGAAAGCTCCGCGGAGCAGGTCGGCGAGGCCGAGCCGAGGTGGGCAGCGGACGTGCGGCCGCGGGCAGGGACCCGGCAAGGCCCGCCCCGGGGCGGGGACCGCGGGACCCGGGGGCCTGGCCACGAGGCCGGAGACATTCCCCCCACCTCCCACCCCCACCTCCTCGGAGAGAGCTGCTCTGACTCCGAGCGGGAAAGGCGAGCGGGTGGCCAGAGCCAGCCGGGCATGGCCACCGCCAAGGCCAAGATAGGGATGGGCAGAGGGCGGCGATCCCGGGGAGCGCTTACCGGGCTTCGGAGACGCCCTCGAAAGTACGCGCTGGCCGCGCGCATCCCGGTGCAAAGCCGGGCGCCCCGCGTGGTCCTCCGCCCGCCGCGCGCCCTACCTTCTGCCTCCTTTGGGGAACCTCGGCTTGGATTAGCGCCTTACTCTTTACCTCTTCTGAGCGGCTCCGCTCCGGCGGCGGCTCTGGGGTTGGGCTCCCACGGGGTCTGCGCGCGTCCTTCCGGGCGCCCGGGCTGGGGAGGCCCACGTGAGGCTCCTCCGCCCTCCCCGGCGCTCGGAGGACTGGCCCTGCCCGGAGCCGAGAACCTCATCGCCCCTCCAGGTGCGGGCCCTGGGGGCAGGTTCCGAGCGTCCTGATTGGCGCTGGCCCGCATCCTGGGAGAATCCCTTGCTAGAGAGGCTGCCTGCTCCAAGGCGAAGGGAAGAGATGGAACAGCGCAGGTGGTTGCCTTCCAAAGAGGCTTCTCTGCCTTTTTGCCCCCCCCCCCAAAAAAAAGGAAACTCGGAGTCGGGCGCCTTAGGAAGGCTGGCTCCGGGGACTTGGTATGCTACGTACAAATTGGGTCCAGCGCGGAAAACCCTGGGAGAATGACAGTCGTAAGGACCGGGGTGTGTCGCTGTCCACTAGAGTTGGCCACGAGAGCCGCCCGAACGGCTCACTGTTTTCCTAATTTCGGCCCGCACTGGTCCCCGAAGACCCAGTGACACCTGATGTCCCCGCCGTTGAGGGGTACCCGGTCCTCGGGGATGGGCAGGGAGGGAGTCAGTGTGTGATCAGAGTTGGGCTGGCAAGATTTGGCAGGAAAAGGCAGGGAAGAAGCAGCAGAGCTGTTTGCCACAACACAAGGAGAAAACGTCAAGGGCGCTCGAGACTCTCGTGAAAGCATCCTCTTATGAAGTTTTTATAGGAACTTCTCTGGTGGCTCAGACCGTAAAGAATCCGCCTGCAATGAGAGAACCTGGGTTCGATCCCTGGGTTGGTAAGATTCCCTGGAGGAAGGCATGGCAACCCACCCCAGTATTCTTGCAAGGAGAATCCGCATGGACAGAGGACCCTGGCAGGCTACAGTCCTTGGGGTCGCACAGAGTCGGACAGGACTGAGCGACTCAACACAGCACATAAATCTTTTAAAGTTGCTTCTGTGCTGTACTTCCAGACAGTGAATTCTGACATCAATAGTTCAGGAGATCGGCCTGGAGAACCTGAGGGAATGAGACAGAAGGAAAGTGTCCCTTTCCAGGACTTCCAAATTTGGGGAACTTTTACCTGTTTTGGTCTGTTTATCTTTCTCCCGACCCTGTTCCCCAGTCTTGCTTAAACTGAGGACTGGGGAGGAGAGAAGGATGGGGTCAGCCGGCTTCATGATCAAGGAGGGAGCCTTTCTGCTCCACATCAGATGGTTTCCTCTTCTTGCCCTGGATAGTCTGGTGGATTCAAAGCCAAGGTGAACCAAATATCAGTTTGGAGGAAAAAAAACACTAGAGTCCCTCAGCTCAAGTCCAGCTTGTAAGAGAGGGGAGTAAGAAATTTAGCACTTAGAGCAAACTTTATTATTCCCAAGCATTGAGGGAAAAAAACCAAACAAACCATAGGCAATCTACCCACTTCATCATCCTAGCAGGTTTGCCATTTCCTCAGCACTCCATTTCCCCGCCCCTCTCTTCACAGGTTCTAAATTTTGACCTCAGACTCTCCTGTGCTTCCTTTTCTCACACAGTCAAACTTCACACCTACATTCCTCCGTCCTCATTTCTTCTCAAAGTCAAGACAGTGAAATATGAAGAGATGCATTATTTTCTCATAAACAATCACACACAGAGAAAAATACACTAAACCTTGTAATAACCACCAGGACATTGCCATCAACTCAGATCCCATTGTTTTTCATAAGTCCTTCCCCCTAAAGCAACAACTATCCTAACTGTATGGTAATTACTTCCTGATATATTTTCATAGTTTTATCAGCTTGTTACTCATCTCTAAACAGTGTAGTTTAGTTTTTGAACTTTCTGTTAATGGAGTAATATAGCATGAATATTTTGTTGTGTGTCTGGCCTCTTCTTTCACTGGGTTATGTTTATGAGGTCATCTGTTTTTGTTGCATGCAGTTGTAGTTGGGGTTATTACAAATAATGCTGCTAATAATGTTCTTGCATATATCTATATATTTCCTGGTATGCAAGGGCAAAATTTTCTTTAGTGTATATATCTTGGAGTAGAATTGCTAAGCTATAGAGTATACTTATATTTAAGTCTTTCAGATAATACTAGGTTGTTCTCCAAAGTGGTCATAAAGTTTACACTCCTAGCGGAGATGGATTATTGTTCCAATTGCTCTACATCCTTGCCAAAACATAATATTGTCAGACTTCTTCATTTTTGTCAATCTGGTGGATGTGTAATGGTATCAAAATTGTGATCTTCATTTCATATACCTAATTATTTGGGTTGGCCAAAAAGTTCATTTGGGTTTTTCCATCCAATGTTACAGAAAAATCCAAACAAACTTTTTGGCCAACCCAATACTAATGAGGTTGTGCACTTTTACATGTGTTTATAGACTAATCAAATTTTCTGTTTTGTTAAATGCCTTTTCAGATCTTTACTCACCACTAGAATCCTTCCGGTTTCCCTCTAAAACCACACCTGCTTTAGCCTGGCGTCCCTTCCCATCCCTCCTGGAAACCATGTGTCTGTTTATCATTTCTATAAATTGTGTAACTTCAAGAATGATATACAAATAAAACTGTCCAGTACATAACCTTTTGGATTTTTTTTCCTCACTGACCATAGCCCTTTGGAAATTCATGCAGGTTTATTTATTGGATGGTATGATTGTACCATGGTTTGTTTAACCATTCACTCAGCTATTGAGAGACATCTTCCCCGGCCCCCCAGTTTTTTTGAGCTATGATAAATAAAGTTGCTGTAAACATTTGCACACAGGTTTTTTGGTCCAAATAGTTTTCATATTAGAGATAGATACCCAGGAGAGCAATCGTGTGGTAGTTGCATGCTTGGTTTTTTGAAACTGCCAACCTGTTTTGCAGAACGTTGTTCACTCAGTCATGTCTGACTCCTTGGACCCCATGGACTGCAGCACACCAGGCTTCCTGTCCTTCACCATCTCCCGGAGTTTGCTCAAACTCGTGCCCATTGAGTCAGTGATGCCATCCAGAGTAGCTTATCATTTTTCGACTCCACTAGCAATGTACGACTGACCCCATTTCTCCACATTCTTGCCAACATTTGGTGTTAATATTGTTTTTGAGATTTTAGCCGTTTTGATAGATCTGCAGTGATAGTGCATGGTGATTTTAATTTACATTCCCCTACTGGCTAATGATGTTGAACATCTTTCACATGCTTATATTTCCATCTGTATGTTCTCTTTGATGAAATGTCTGGGGCATTATATCTTTGGGGCACTTTCTAAATGGATTGTTTGTTTTCTTACTGTTGAATTTTCAGAGTTCTTCATATACTCTAGTTCCTAGTCCTTTTGTGTATGTGTGGTTTGAAAATATTTTCTCCAGTAACTTGTATTTTCTCCAGTAAGTATTTTCTCTGTAACTTGTCTTTTCATCCTCTTTACAAGGATACTTTTTTTTCCCCTTTGCAGAGGAAGTGTTAAATTTTAATAAAGTTGATTTTTCAGTTTTTCCTATTGTGAGTCTTGATTACTGTAGCAATATAAGGAGCCTTGAAATTGGGCAGACTGATTCTACCCATATTTATTCTTCCTATTGAAAATTGTTTTAAATCTTCTAGTTCCTTTGCCTTTCCATTTAAACTTTAGAATAATCTTCTCTATATCTACAAAGAACCTTGCTGATATCTTGATAAGAATTAGGGAGAGAACATTCAATCTTTTCATCAGTAAGTATAAATTAGCTGTAGTTATCAGCTTGGCAAATTTGCCTTCCGTTCCTATTTTTGTGAAAGTTTTTGTCACAAAAGGGGGTTGAATTTGGTCAATCGTTCTTATACTGTTTATATAACCATGTGATTTTTTTTTTCTTTTTAGCCTGTTAATATGGTGAATTACATTGATTGATGTTTGTAAACTGAGCCAGCCTTGCATCTCTGAAATGATGCCTACTTGGTCATAGTATATAATTCTCTTTATACGTTGCTAAATTCTATTTGCTCATATTTTCTTAAGCACATTTGTGTCTATATTCATTAGACGCATTGGTCTGAAGTTTACTTTGTATGGTCTTGATCTAATTTTCACATCACAGTAATACTGGCTTCATAAAATGAATGGGGAAGTGTTTTCTCCTTTTCCATTTTCTGGAAGAGATGATGTAGATTTGATGTCACATCTTCTTTAAATGCTTGTAGAATTCTCTAGTGAAACTATCTGAGCCTTGAGATTTCTCTTTTGGAAGTTTTAAAATTACAGATTTAATTTACTTAATAGTTACAGGTTGGTAAAATTGTCTACTTCAGGTTGGGTGAGATGTGGTACTTCGTATTTTTCAAAGAATTGGCATTTCATGTAAGTTGTCAAATTTATGTGTGTTCACCATGTTCCCTTGGTATCTTTTTGAAGTCTGCAGGGTCTATAGTATATTTCCTGTTTCATTCTTGAAACATTGGTGATCTATGTCATCTCTTTTTTTTCCTTCGTCAGTCCTGCTAATTTTATCAATTCCTTCAAAGAAACAACTCTTCGTTTTCTTGAATTTCTCTATTGTTTTTGTTTTCAGTTTCATTTACTTCTAATCTTGTCTTCCTTCTTAATACTTTAGGTTTATTTTGCTCTTTTTCCTAGGTTCTTGAGGCAAAAGCTTAAATCATTGGTTCAAGACTTTCTTCTTTTCTATTTACATGCACTTAGTGAAATAAATTTTTTTCTCAGTCCTGCTTCCTCAGGATCCCATAAATTTTGATATGTTGTATTTGAACTTTTATTTTATTCAATGTGTTTTTTTT